ACCCATAAGTGTATAAATTTATCTTATTCAGTACCTGGTTGAGATGAAAAACATTTCCAGAGAAAGCATTCATGGAGAAAGGAGAAAACCACACGAGCATTGGGCAGTCCAAGATTCAGATATTCATGTTTTCCAGTGGAGCACCCTGCCACTGCTCCTTGCCCCCCAAACCTACCACCTTCTCTTTGACATCCTTAGTGACAATGTGGTGCCAAATGACTGGTCAGTTCTTGAGTTCCTATAGCAATAATGTAGGACCTGAAACAATAAGGTTTTTTCTTTAATGATTCATTAGTGAAAGATTCAAGCAAAACTTTTTCAAAGAGAGGATCCACAGAAAGAAGAAGGATCCAAGAGAAGGGTGAAGAAATAGCCTTAGTTATGACAATAAAGAAGGAGTCCTCGGGGAGGGTCCTCAGTTGGCAAATGAAGGAGGTAGTGGCATTACAGTGGAGCGGAGAGTGATGGTGCTATGCAGGTGAAGCCAGTGCAGATTCCATACCAAGATGAAAACAGAGTCCATTTTGCCGTGTTCTATGTGTTCAAAATACACTGTAAAATCGAAACTCTTAATAAAAAAGAGAAGACTGGCAGCAGCTCTGTCTGATAGAACTTTCTACGATGATGTGTATGTTCTATAGCAGTTATGTTCAACATGGTTATAGAGCATCTAGGAAGTGGGCCATGTAGCCAAATAACTGAATTTTCAATATCACTTAGTTTTAATTAATATCAATTTAAATTTAAGCAGCCAAAGTAATGTAGAGTCAGGAAGCTTTTGGGGGTAAAGGAAATGTCCTTTATATTGGTTGTGATGGTATTCATAGGAGGGCATATAGTTTTCAAGGTTCATTTAACTGTATACTTAGAATGGACACATTGCATTTGTATACGTCAACAAAATTGAAAAACTTTAAATACTAACCACAAGTGACCAGAAGCTTCCCTATTGGACAGCACAGGTCTAGAGTGACTTGCTGTGTGGTCACAGGGAGAAGAAGGCACTCACCATCTGAGAAGTGAAGTACATTGTGTGAGGTGCTCACGTGTTGAAACATTATCCCACTGTTACTCATAATATCACTTGATACTCTCATAAATCTTGTCTTCAGGTCCATTTCTCTTTTTATGCTATCATTTAAAATTGATTCTTAGGAAGGGAGAGTGTATTAAATTTGAGTAGATGGATTGTTATCACTGACCGGGCATTGTTTTGAGGTAATACAGAAGGACCAAGGGAAGCATCTTTCTCTATACTATTGTCCATACTTGATGTTTCGGAGAGGTCAACTTGAAGAGTTGAGGAATAGAAATCTTGGGACCACTAAGACTTCTTTTGTTCTTTGAAGTGGATAAACCTATGACCATTGAAAACAAAGAGCTGGAAATTTTTGAGAGGAGAGGTTCAGTAATGGGAATACATGCTGAAGTTAATGAAAATGCCTAAAAGAACTGTATGTAAATTCACATGAAACACAGTTCAAAGGACTTGAATTCCAATCCTGCCTTCTCCGTAATTCAATATTGTGTGTCAGTATCAGTTAAAAGAATATGTCAATCAGTATTAGTGTGCATATTATTATAGTGGAATGTTGAGATCATTGGTTCACAATGAGTTTCACCATTCAGTAAAATTTTGAAATAATATTAGTGAAATGGTAGCCTGAGTAAGTGCTGTTAATTGGGTTTCCCCCTAAAGCATTAAAAACATAGCAAAACCTAAAAGGCCCTTTGTCTACACACCTCACCATTTCCAAAGGAATATTTTAATAAAGAGAAAGAGGGGGAGAAATTGATAACCAAAAATAATAATATTAAAAAACCCACAAATTGGTACTGTTAAGTCTGAAAAATTCACTACTTTAACCTGTTAAGGTGCTATTTCCCAATTTCCAAGTAATTCTTTGGGTGCTTTGAAGGTAAAGACAAAATATTTATTTCTGTCTGGGGCTGACAGAGAATCAAGCACTTAAAACCCACAGTGGAGGGGGCAGCAGAAGCAATCATAATCATAAGGTCTATTTCCTATAAAAGGAGAGTTACAAAAGACAGTCATATTTTCAGAAATTACATTCTCAGAAAAACAATCTTGCATTAGTCCCATAGATCAAGGATATTGTGGTCAGGGTGCAAGGTAGGTGTGGGTGGAGGTGTTAGCATTGATGCGAGTGAGCTCATGAGGAAGGGGGGTCATTTTCACACTAGGTGAAATGTCTGAACAAACCTAGCTTTGTCATCTTCATGTAGGTTGGTGAAGAACTTTACAATGGATCAGTTCAAGCCCACAGAAAGGCACTAGGTCACTCCCTGTGTGGAGCAAATGGGAGGAGATTCTACCCCATCCACTGACTTAACAAGAGGCAGCTGTCCAGGGCTTAGTGATTTTTGAGAAGCCACAAATTAAGGGAGTGGGCAGACACACATCTGGTGTCAGAGCTCTTGGTTTCCATTTCCAGCCCAATGTTCCCTTGGCCACATTTTTATTATGTCATCTCTGATGTTTTAGAGATGAGCAAGCTTGCCTTTTTTTCTTTTTTCTTTCTTTTTCCTTATGTGTTAAAGGAAATATCACAGGCCTGGGCTCTCTGGAAGCAGATGCTGAGATAGCAATGCAAAAGAGTTGTTAAGAATCAATGTCTTTGAAAAAGGTGAATAGGCAGGAGTAGGCAGAAGAAGAATTTGTACTGTGACACAGGTTTAAGCTTGTACTTACTCATCAGGGGCATCTGGAGCACTTTATTGCCCAGAGTCATTCCCTTTCTCAGTTCAAAAGTTTCAACTTTTGCACTCCTGTTTTGTGAAGTTGCTGGAAATTGGCTGCCCCTGGAAGGCACGATTTGGGGTGAGGTGTGTTTGCAGCTAAAGAACACCCTGAAGTTACAGAAAGCAAGGGGCTGCCTACTGACTGAATTCTCTGCATAGGACACTGCCAGTGTTCCTCTGTGTCTACTACAGATGGCTTGTAGTCAGTGTTTAAATGAAAGAGCAAAACCTCAAGATCAGTTATTGAGTAGTTTAAATCAGTTTTATAGCCTACATAAATAATTCACTCTGAATCCTCTCACTCTTAAGACTTTTTCTTCTATTATAATTTCACTTTTTTTTTCTATTTTATTCAGAAAATGATTTCACCTTTGAGAAGCAAATGTTAAGGACATGAATCTGATTGTCAATTCATCAATAAACACCTGGATAAATAATTAAATGAAAGATTTCCATCCACATCTATTTCATAGTCATAAATTAAAAAAACAACAACAAAGTGTTATTGAAAGACTTGCTGAATTGCAATGTGTTACAGGATCATTGTATTTGTTAAGGATTTTTAGAAAATATCTGATGTTTACCCTCCCCAAATCACAATCATTTCTTAAGAAAGTGTATGTCCTTGCCAGATAGGATAGTGCACACCTGTAATCCCATTGACTCAGGAGGCTGAGGCAGGAGGATAACAAGTTTGAGTCCATCCTCAGCCTCTCAAATAAAAAATAAAAAGACACACACACACACACACACACAAAAAAACAGATCTTGGGAAGTAGCTCAGTGGTAGAGCATCTCTGAGTTCAACCCCCATTAACAAAAAATATAAAGAAAGAAAATATACGCAAACGCTGCACCAGAAATAAATCACATCATAGAATAATATTGTTTTGACCTCTATTTAATTAGTATATAAACTATTAACAGACATATCTCAAATATAAGACTAAATTTCTACTCAGTTTGTTATATAATGACTATATTTAGAATTATTTGATGAAATAACTCAAATAAAGAGATGATTTTATAAAGAAGAGAATCTATGAACAAATAATTAAAACTATAATAAAGTAATAAACTTTCTGTTCTGTAGCTCTTTGACTTCTATAATGGAAAATAAGTTTATGTATAATCATTTGTTTTTAGTTCACTAGAGTTTTATGTGGTAAATTTGCATGATAAATTCTAGTATCCAAGAAGATGAAATGGTCCATTTACTATTTGACCACTTTGTAAAAAGAGGGTGTTTTTTGTGTAAAATGTATAACTTATTATAACACTTCAAGTTACTTTCATATTATGATGTATAAAGTAAGCACTACAAATTTGAAATATATCAAAACATGATGAAACTACCTATCATGGTCTGCCTGTCTCCTAAATTCAGTCATAAATACTTTAGGATGTATCTATGTTAAGCATAAATAATATATTAACTTTATCTAAAAAGGGCTAACAATATTAACTTTATATAAAATAGAAATATTTATAATACTTTATTTACATAAAATAGACAAAAAAGTAAATTATAGAGTATAATTTTATTGAAGTATTAATTTGCCAAACAAAAATCAACAGAATAGTTTCTCATTATGCTTTTAATCTCTTAGTAAACCAAGCATCTGGAAAGGCAAACAAAACAAAGGCTAACTACAGTAGGCTCCTGACCTAGAACAATATTTGCTCCTAAAAGCTGTTTCAGGTTGAGGTATTCTAAAAGTATATACTGAATAACAAAAAGAAAACTTTCTTCTATTAAAAACACATCTCTCTTGGTTGCTTTTGCTGATTCAACTCCCATAGCGGGAGCAGAATTGATTCCCTTCTTTTTAGATGACATTATATAACTCAAAGTTGTTAAAAATTGCTGACATTAAGATCTACTGTGGGTATTTTATACTGGTATTCCCACATTCAAAACCCAAATCATAGAATGTACAAGATTAATGATGTACTTTAACTGCAGACTTCATTGTCTTTTTTATTTTTTGACAAGATACTTCCATTCTAGGATGCAGCAATTTAAGAAAATATAAACAATTGATAACAGTTGTTTAGGTTTCAGAGATCTTCACCTAAAATATTCAGTCGTTTGGGGGTAAAGGTACCTGGACCCATTTCTTATCATATACGTTTCTACAGATTGTGTTACTTGGTGTAACTCAAACTCCTGATTGCCAACCCTGCCCCCAAATCCTTCTATTGTTATGAGAATGACTCAACAACATAGATGTCAGTTCATATATGAGTTGACCAAGGTATATTGACTTTTATTTTTGAGTTAAGTAGTATTTGATACTGTATCTGGACAACAAGAGAAACCAGTTTGATCTATTAGCATTTTTTGTCCAGAGGCTCACAGTGGTGATCCTGGGGGTTATTGAGATGCTTGCTCAGAGTTGCCAACTCTACTGTAAAAAAAATAGGCAATGATTTCTTAATTATTGTTGCTTTTTAGGTTATAGGAAGAGTAGCAGCTACTGCTCTGCTATTGATGTTGCTCTTCTTTTTTCAATCCTTGTTTTGCACTTGCACATTTATATAACTCATTGCAGGGTTGCCTGGAAGATGCTGCTTTTAGTCTAATCTGAAAAACCATACTTCCTCTTTCATTGCATCATACATTAGTTCAGTTGTGTGAAAAAAAATAGTAATGCTGGTCTGCTGGTGCAAACTGCTGAAGACGCAGAAGAAATTAGACACAATTCCCATCCTTAAAAATACACAGTGTAGAAAGAATTCACTGTGAATATACAAATACCTGAATTTAAAAAAGGCTCAGGAAGGAGTCATAGAATGGGAAGCTGTTTTAAGTGAAACTTGAAGAAGGAGGAAAATGGCAAGGGAAATAGCAATGTACGAGGTACAGTGGCACAAAACAAGAAGGGAAAATTTAACATGATGGCTGGTTATCATGATTGTGAAGTATATATGTTGGCTAGATAGGGTCCCAACAGAACACAAATGTCCCAGATATTAGGATAAGTTGACAAGCACTTTGTCACCTCCCCCCCCAACACACACACACATTGGTAGGACTTCTAAAAGTGTCTAAAGAAACCAAAAGAAAGATTCTGGTCTGTGCTAAAGAACACTGGAGAAGCTAATGTTTTTAACCCTTGAAGAGATAAGAAAAGGGAGCAATTTTCAGATCGCAGGAGCAGGAAGCCTGGTAGAGAAGCTACCTTTGTGAGAAGTACTAAATTGAGTTGGAGGAATATAGCGAGCCCAGGAGGCTTTGTAGAGAGAAGTTCAATCCCTACCAGGTTGGGATTCCTCCTGTCTGTCACTCTGATGTTCTGGGGTTCCGTTGGCTGAACCTACCTAGAGACCAGATGGCACAGGAGCTCAGTGGCTGGTTCCTCTGTGTGCAGCAAGACAGACGGATGGAAAATGCATCTGGAAAGGCAAACAAATGTACCCTACCTAAGATACGTGTAGAAACAAGGGAGGGAAGGCAGGTGAGGTGAATAGTGGCAGGGCTGTAAAATATCTTCAGAGCTTAACAGTAAGAGGAAGTAAAATATCGAAGGCTTTTTATCAGGGCAAACACAAAGATGGTTCTGATTTGGAGAAGAGATTAAAAAGCACTAAGGAGGGACAGGATTATTCTCAAAAATGTCAAAGTTGTGAAAGTCAAGGAAAAACTGAGTCTAAACCAACTTGGCAAATGAACATGAGCTTCACCTAAACCAATTTCTTCTCCAAAAAAGGACACAATTGGGGCAATTGATGAAACTTGAAAGATTTTGAGGACTGGATGGTATTAGTACATCAATGTTAATTTCCTGATTTGAAACATTATATTATGGTTGTGAAAAATAATATTCTTTTCAGGAAGTATATTCTGTAGTTTCGGGGTAGTATTGGGTCCTTATATTAATAAGTTAATCTCAAATGATTCAGGAAAAAAAATCACCCTCTGTTTATTAGTTACTATAACTTTGAGATTGTTTGAAAATTATTTGCTTTTGCAATGACAATACAAACATATAGATTAGTGTGGCATGACATCCTTGTAACAATAATATTTCACTTAATTAAGAAGCCTAAGGAGCAGAAATGTATTGGAACTGGTTATGGCACATACATAATTTATAATTATTCTTTTTAAATGGCTATGATATTCTGTTATGGTTTGGATATGAGGCATCTCCCAAAAGTTTCTATATTAATGTAGGAAGGATTGGAGGTGAAGTGCTTGGATTGTGAGAGCTCTAACCTAATAGTCCACCTAGTTTGAATGGACTAGCTGGGTAGTAACTGTAGGAAGGTGGGTCATGGCTAGGGGTAGGTTACTGAGAGCATACTCTGGAAGGGTACACCTTCCCTACAGTCCTTCCCCTTGAATTTTTTTTTCCTGCTTCATGGCATTTAAGTTTGGAATAGTACTTTTCCACCATGTTCTTTTCCCATGATTTTCTGCCTCTGACCTCTCTTGAGTCCAGAGTAATGAGCTGGCTGTAATGCACTGAACTTTTGAAACTATGAGCCAAAGTAAACTTTTCTATCTGTGTTGCTTTTGTTGGGTATTTTGCTCACAGCGATGAAAACCTGACTTTGATATCCACCAGTCAAAGTTTAAGCTGGAGCTGTTTAACTTTACATACATTTTTATGTGGAAGACTTAGAGTCCTTGAATGACCCTGTGGGATCAGGCTGAGTTTTGAACTTTATCTGATATTGAACCTTTGCTTGGCTTCTTCCACTTTTCTCTCCTTCTTCTCCTTCATTAGTGGTTTCTCCAGAGAGCACTTTCTAAAACAGCCCTTCTACCCAAATCTTGGCTTAAGCACAGCTTTGGGAGGACTTACTCTAAGACATAAGGTAATTAGAACTTGGAGTCAGCTTGCAATCTGGAGGATATCATGTCCTTGGGACTTAATTCTCAGAGTGTTCTAACTCAGTTTTTGAGCCTTAGGGACTTGGTTCCTTGTTTTACAATAGTTCTGTTAGGACCAGCAGTGAGTATTGGAGAGCTGCCTTATAAAGTTAGGGAGAAGAGTACTGTTCAGATAGATGACTATTCCTTCCTCAAGAGAATAGCATTCTTCAGCTTCATCTAAGACTCAGTGGCTTACAGGAATAGGCAAAAAAACAAATAAACAAAAACAAACAAACAAATCTCCAATCAAAAACAAACAAACAAGCTAAGGCATGTTAGGTGGGGGAACACTACTCCTGGTGTTTCCTTCCATGTGGGAAGGGTCTCCATTAGAATAACTTTTGGTCATGTGGAAACCATCATTTAGTTCTCCCAGGGTAGGAGGAAAGCTGTAAGCTCAGTGGAGATAGTAGAGGTAACTTCTATTTTAGTCAAATATTTTGTTGCTGCCACCAAAAGACCTGAAAAAAAGTATTTTTAAGGAGGAAAAGTACATTTGTTGCTCATAGTTTTGGAGGCCTCAGTCCATAGAGGCTGACTCCATTGGTCTGTGTCTGAGGTGAGGTAGAACATCATGGCTGAAGAGTGTGGCTAAGGAAAGCAGCTTGGGACATGGCACCAGGAAGCAAAGAGACTAAGCTTAGCTCACAAAATATAAACTTGAAAGGCATGCCCCCAATGGTCCTATTCCTGCAGCCATACCCAACTTGTCTATAGTTACCACTCAATTGATCCCTATCAGGGGATTAATGCACTGGTAAGGTTGAATCTCTCATAACGCAGTCACTTCACCTCTTAACTTTCTTGAATTGTCTCACACATGATCTTTTTGAGGACACCTCATATCTAAACCATAACACTTCTTTTCTTCTTGGCAATAAGTTGTTTGTAAGGGAAGTCGATTCTGAACCAACGGGACCTTACAAGACTGAAGCCAATTTCTCAGATCTTCTCTTTCTGATTCATTAGTGTTAAGACACCATCACACACAGCTCTTTAGGCCTTAGTGGGCTAACATATCACTCATGTCTTTTCTAATTCTCTTTTCTAAAGGAATACTTTCTCTCTGATATTCCAGTATAATAATAATTTTTCTTGTTTTTTTTTTATTCATTAACAAACATGACTACTTTTTTAACACACCCCCTTCTAATAGTACATTATAGAAGCTACATATTCTGTTCCATAAATATGGGAATGACTTGAGAGAATAACACATTTACTTTTTCCTTTTGGTACCAGGGATTGAACCAATGAGCCACATCCCAAGCTCTTTTTATTTTTTATTTTGATGTATAGTCTCACTAAGTTGCTTTGGGCCTTGATAAGTTCCTGAGGCTGGTTTTGAACTTGAGATTCTTCTGCCTCAGCCTCCCAAGCCTTTGGGATTACAGGCAAGTGTCACCATACCCTGCTAAGATTAACACATTTCTTTATTGATCTTCCCCTTGATTATAGTTTCAAAAAGATCTCAAACTTCTAGCTACTGAACAAATGACATAACTTGAAAAGAACCAATAATATTTAAATTTCCATAGTCCCAACAATTAATGCTTTCTATAGCACTTTGAAATTAGTTAACTCTTTTCTCCCCATTTTGCATGTGTGTTTGCATGTTTTTATTGATAGTCAAAAGAGGGAAATATAAAAATGAAAAATAAAAGCAACAGAATAGCCTTATCAAATGTTCTTGAGAACAGATGGCATCCTCAGAGGGGCAAAAATGTATCAAATGATCTGTTTCCAAACATGAGATACAAAAATCCAGGTGTAGCTGTGAATCACAGATCGATTATGATTCAAAAATCTTTGTTTGTAATAAGCTCCTGAAGGTCACCAATGATATATTCAAGGTTCTCTCTAGAGACAATTTACCCTTGAAAATGAGGACCCAACATCCTTCAATACTGAATGTGTAGAAAATTACTACAATCATATTCTCTTAACTTATATTCCCTTCGGTGCAGGCACTCTGTGCTTTGGGAAGAGAAAGCTCTGATTGGCCTAAAGATTTTACATAGTTCAGACATGGATCTCAATATGCTTAAGATGATTCAGTCTTAGCGTTTTTCCTATTTACAGTGTTGCCCACATAAAACTGTTTCCATGGATGACTTTCAATACATATTCATTCATTTGTTCAGTTTTTTTTGTTTTTTTTTTTAATGAAGGACGGGCTTAGATTGCTGGATATTCAGAGGAAGGCTCTTAACCCATTCCCCCACCACCCACCCGGGCCAACTCCTACATTACTTTCAATATTTTGTTCTGGTACCATCTCTTTTGGAAACCTTCCTGATTTCACAAATCTGGGCTGAGGTATTATTCTCCAGCCTGCCATCATGCCATGCAATCACCCTACCCTGGAGCTCAGCTCACTCTAGTTTGTCAGATTGTTATTAGTCTAACCGTGAAGTTTAGTTGTCTTAAGGAGCAGAATCCTGGCATTACCATTTCTGTTGGTTGTACCAACAAATATATATTAATTGTCTAATTTTTGCTAGTGTTTAAATTATGTAGCTGCTGTATAAAAACCTACCCCCAGATTTATTGGCTCAGAACAATCATTTTATTTGTTCACTAGTCTATAATCTGGACTGGGACTTACCTGTGTTGGATTTATTTGGTGGGTCACCTGGACACTGGTCCCAGCTGGAGTGCTGAAAGGACAGAGTTTGTGTCTTTGTCTCTTTCTTTGTCTCCACTCTGGTCTGTAATCTTGTACTCTCAGGGATCTCTCAATTCTCTGTGGCTTCTCCACTATAGTCTTTTGTGACAACTGGGAAATCTCAAGGGTACAAAACTGAAGCTGCCAGGTTTTCTGAAAACCAAAGCGACAGAACTGGCATAGTGTCCCTCTCACTATATTTGGATAATAAGGAAAGCGAGTCTACCTAGATCTAATGGAAGAGATGAAGAAACAGTATAGATATCATAACCACCAATATCACGGAACATCACAGCCACTTTTTGGAAACTCAAAATTCATATTTCTCCCTCATGAAAGGTGCATTCATCTGTTCTGTATACCTCCCAGAAGCTTCCCTCTTCTATAGGCTCTGATTCAGTCTCAGGGACTCATCTCCAGGTCTCTGCAGAGGCATCATGGACTAGGCTTCTGGAGTGTGGTTGCTGGAATACAGCCCCGGGGGGCCAGGTCCTCTGGATTGGAGGTTTAGGGAATCAAAGGGGTGTGTTGTCTGCTGCACACTCACCCAAGATACCCACAATAGATCCCTTTTGAAATAAGTGAGGAGCTTATTGAGAGTCACAAAGCAGAGGACTATAATGTGGGTGGGTAGGTAGCTGGGAGCTGTCTACCATAAGTGAGTTGTAAGGAAGTGAATGGCCTGTAAGGATCTAAAAACAAGCATATATATATATATGTGTGTACATCAAAGAATACTTTTTGTGACCACACACAGGAAGGGTTAATAAACAGTGTCAGTGATAAATACTTATCCTGGTTGGAGCAGATCTTCCTTGCTTCCCCTTTGGTACACTACTGTATTCAGTCTTGCATTGATAGTAATTCTGAAATCCAGGAACACATAAAACCATTTCCTTGCTTAGGCCCAGTACTGTCCAAGGAGTGACTCTGCATGGCCCCAGAGTGCACTCCACTGAAGGAAGTAGATCTCAATGGTTAAGACTAAGGGCTGCATGATTAGCTGTGTGGCCCCAGACAGGTGACTTAATCTCTCCCAGCCTTCATTCCTTCATCTGCAATATGAGAATTTTTAAAAACAGTACCTATTGTGAGATGTGTTGTGAAGTTGTTATGAGACTTAAATAAGATCTTACATAGAAAATCAATAATATTCTATATAATATGTGACATCACTTAAAAAAAGATTATTAAATATAAAACATAGAGTAAATCCTCTATTGATGTGCTATCATTACTATTTATATGTGTCTCTACTCCATGATATATAATACAAAGACTAAAAAGATTTGGGGCCCAGAAAAGTATTATATATTACTCAGATATTACATGGAAATAATATTTTTTTCCTTCTTATGTTTCCATCCACATACAAAAACAATTTGGAATTGTCAACAGCTTTCCTGAAGTTGGGAAGAAATACTTTGAGAAAAGTTTATGAAATTATACTGAAGATCAGAGCCTAGTATAAATCTTAAAACTAAAACATGGATTGATTTGGATTCTATAAGGCATAAAATCAGCGTAAAAAGCTATAATTTAGTTAAGTTTTCCAGCAGATTTAAAACATGCTCCGGGCAGCCTGAAAGATTTTGTAATGATCTCTTTTGTTATGTAAAGGGCAAGAAATGTAAAATCAGATGTCATGGCCCTCTCCTGGCTGGGAGGAACTATCCAATTATCTTCCTCCATTACTAAGAGGCTGCAGTAAAACATTGGGAGGTGGCTGCTAGTGCAATGTCCAAAGTAACAGTCTTGTCAGAGAGTCATATTCTCCTTGCCTTTCTGGCAAACACTGAAATACTGAAAGAATTCAAGAAGAGCTGAATCTTTTTAGAAGACTTCATGGCAGTGATATGTATTTCAACAGAAGCAAAGTGGGATAGATGTCATGACTGTTTTTTGTTGTTAAAACAAACCATTGGCCCGTACCTCATTTCCTTGTTCTGTCTTTTGTAGTTTCTCTTGAATCCTTTCTCCTCCTTGGACAGAACTGGATCATGCCAAGCTTTTAAGGCAATCTGAAAAGGATAGAGGTGAACAATCAATACAAAACCAAACTTCTCTAATTAATAAAAAGAAGCTGCAATGAAATCATGAGCTTGAGTCTAAGAGGTCTGTGGTCTGACACCTGTTCTTAGGTTGTTGGCATTCCTCATGAATCTCCTTCTCAGCATTTCTGATGCAGACTGCACAAATTTATGTCACAGAATTCCATAAGTTCACTCTCTGACTTCACTGACACTTTTCTTCAATAACCAGAATCTGACTTTTCCCCAGAGCTTTCCATTTTAGGTCATTACTCCTTCTAGCAAAACGAACCTTCTTGACTAAGTAAGAGAATGAAAATGGTATTTTTTATAGAGACCCCTGAACCACACCTGGCTAAGAATTGATGGTTATTTTTGAGTTTTTTTTTTTTTATCTGTTGTAATGTAGGCATTGTCTAGAATGATTGTCATAATTTTGTTCTGAATTCTCAGAAGACCTGGTTTCCTCTGTGAATTTCTAAAACAAATGGATGACTGGGGTCCCTTGGGTACTGATTTGAAGCCATCTACATGCCCCCTTGTTTGAGATTAAAAGTTTCCCTTTGTAATTCTTTGTTTCACCTTACGAGATTCTCTATATTCTCTGTAAGCAAAAATAAACAAAATGGTTGGCACCATAGTGAAAGCCTAACTAACCAGGACAGGGGCAGACTTCTTGGATCAGCAATGCCTTTTATTCAGCAGTGGAGTCAGGCATCAGAGAGGCCCATTTTGGGGGTAGAAAATGGCCCCTGGTTATAGGAGGGGTCTGGGTTTCTATAGGTTACCCTGAGAGGGAACTTAATCACTTCAATAGGATGTGTCAGTTTGGGCATTCAGGAAAAAGACTGAAAATTTGTAACTTTTATTTACTGGGAAGGGATGGAAGGTTTCAGTGCTTATCTTTTTCCTTTGGAGGTCACTTTATTGTAAAGGATCAATGTTTATCCAGGGACTGCCATTTTAGGATTAATGTGTACACTCTTCCCAGGGATTATTTTGTGACTGGGAAAGGATTTATTGGGGGAAGGATCAATGTTTTGCCTTCTTCCTCCCTATCTCATCCTGGGTCACATTGTTTGGGGATCATTATTTTCCATATCCTTCACTCTGTATCCTGACCTAGAATGGTTAAAGAACAAATAGATCTTACACCTTAGCTACTCAATTTAGGATAGGTATGATTTCTATTTTTGTATCTAATATGCTATTAGCTCCATGAGCTAAAAACCAGTCATAAATCAACTGCTTTCTTTTTTCTGTTTTCTAATTAAAATATCCCGGTAGATTACAGCTCAAGAAAGCCCTGTATCTACTGACTAGTTTGAGAAGGATATGTTCATATGAAATTATTGAGTCTTTATACGAAATTATTTTTTTAAATAGGAATAGTCAATGATGCTAATTGGGGCAAAAGAAAAGTGTTTGGATATTGAAGCCCAGAGATGATTCACATATTTGGTCTTTGCTAAATAGCCTTTTAGTTTTTACTGAGCACTGACAGTCCTCAGAGTGGTTAATGGCATAATTTAGTGAGCTGATAGAATTTTTTTTTATCTCACTTAATTATGCCAGTTTTTCTCTTTTCTATTATTTGATAAAAGGAATAATTAATAGAAAATTCACCAGCAAAAGTTGATGAGGAAATGTTTACAAATATTATTCATACCAATGTCAGCCCAAGGTAGTTGACAAAGGAAACTCTTTAGAAGTAGCTCAGGAACCTTCAACTTACAGGTTGAAGTCAGGTCAATTCTTTAGTTGTTGTAACAACAAAGTTATACATGATCCTCTAACCCAGCAGGGCCACCTAGGTGAGTCCCTGAGGTCTTTTTTGGACTGAAACTATAGAGCACATCCCTGAACAAGAAGACACACTGTAGTTTTCAAAAGGCCCAAGTCTATATTTCCAGCTATACATGGTCTTTCAAAACCTTGCCACTCCCCATTCAGAGGTGGGAACTTTGTGTTCTCACTTTGAACCTGGGCAGCCTCTTGACTTCTCTCACAGAGCACAGCAGAAGTGACTCTGCATCTTAGGACACGGCTCTTTATTTTCTCTTTCTCTTTCTGACACTCATCTTTGAGACCCAGCCCCCATGTTGTAAGGAAGAACAGGCAACAGGCACATACCTCATAAATGTGTTCAGGACATTAGCCCCTGCTAATGGATCTGCCTACAGCCAACATCACCACTCAGTTTTTTGATATAATTATGGCCTCCAACTTTGGACTTGAAAGCCTCAGACTGCAGGGGCAGGGATAATCCATTCCTAATATATTCTGTTAGAATTCTTCACCTACAGAATCTATAAGCAAAATAAATAGCTGTTTTATGCATTGAGTTTCGGGATAATTTGTTTTGCAGCTTGAATAGCTAGAACAGGTAATAGTTGGATGCTTCTTAAAGTGGCCTAATTTGAGCATATATCCCTGTATTTATGTAATGGAGAAATTTAAAAAAAGGAAAGAAATCATAATTTATTTTTTATCCTCTATCTAAAAAGCTAGATATATTGTCTCTCCTCTTTCAGTTATAGTTTCTGTGTTTTTTATTTCATAATTTGAAAGGTCTTACTCATATTGAGATTGATAACTTTTGTTTCATAAAATCCTCAAATTTCTGCAAGGCAAATTCAAGACAAATTATTAACTGAACAAAAAATACACAAATCGATTCACAGCAGGCTAATTTTCTTGATTTATAGTGCTATGACAAATCAATAAAACAACAATAGCCTGATAAAAATACTGGTAACAAAAATGTCCAGAAAACTCATAGAAAAGGAAATGCATATGTTTTATTAAAGTACAATACTGTACCACAAAATTTGCACAAATGCTATATGTCAATCAAAACTAAAAACATAAAAAGAGACCTAATTTCACTTATAATAAAAATTGCAAATTAAACTGAGTTATCAAGATATCACTTCTTTCCCCTATCAGATTGCCAAAGATCAAAAGTTTGGTAACAGAAGTATTTTGTATAGGTGTGAGGAAATATGTCTTCTTGTTCTTTGTAAGGTAATTCAGATTGGAACAATTTTATAGACATACAAATATATGTATGTACACATTTATATACATTATATACATATATACGCACATATATACATATATGTACATATCTATATATTTATTGCACTGTCATTTGTAATGACAAAGATTTAGAACAAAGATTCTCAAAGATTATTTGATTGGGGTTTGGTTGTATAAATTATGTCATATTCCTTTGATAATAGCAGATAGCCAAATATATAAATTAATGAGAAAGTTCTTTATGTGCTAGTCAAATGACAGATAAAATATTAGAAATATTATTAAGTAAAAAGGCAAGCTACAAAACCTTGTTTTGCTTTTTACATTATCTGTGTAGAAATTTAAAATACACATACACACATTCACACACACACACACACACACAACTTTTATTCACTCATGGAATATCCCTAGAAGTACATATAAGAACTGTTAACTTTGGTTCCCACTGGAGAAAAGAGTTGAATAACTAAGAGAAAAGTAAAAAGGAGAATTTTGATGGTTTTATCTTTCTATAACTTTTAAAATTATAAAAGTATTATTTATTTCAAAATAAATAAAATATTAAAAAGAGGTAACTCTGAACCCAGCTATTTTATATATATATATATATATACATATATATATATATATATACATACACATATATACATATATAAATATATATAATTTTTAAAATTATGTCCCTCTGTGCCAGGATGGGAGCATCTAGGATTTACTCCTCTTATATCCCCTGTGCCTGCCTGCAGTAGTCATGGGCCTTTAGGAGCTCATGCATTTCTGGAAGGAATGCTAGGAGGCCTCTGTGAGCAGTAGGACTCTGCCATAATGCACAGCTCAAGGGGTTTGCAAGTAATGAAGGTGAAGCTCCACATGGAGGCCTTTGGGAGGGCTTATGGAGACAAGTGCAGTTTAAGCTGGACCTCCACACAAAGGAAGGAGAGATACCTACAGGATCTGGGATGGCACGGTGGGTAGTGCCGGTGTCTTTCTGGAAACTTGAGTAGACTGGGTGATGCAGCTGGTTTGCTGGGAGGGGAGAGAGTATGCAGTTAAGAGAAAAGATCAAGGATGATCTTCCTTTCATGAGCTCAGACAGCGACTACCATTGTTTAGTTAGTGCAAAGGCCCTGGCAGTCAAAAAAAAGCTTGATGTATTTTAAATGATTGATGACTAATTGAATCAGGTGGTTGCTGCCTACTTTAATTCTTTACCACTTCACTAACCAAGCCACCATATGTGGCTTGCATGACAGATGCTAGCTGCTTGGAATAGGGAAATGTAATTTGAAGAAACAATTTTTAATGCTATAGTGCAAATTTAAAAACCATTTTGTTGGCCTCTGAGGATAAAAAATGAATATAGTCATCTGGTAGTTTTAAATAGATGACTTCAGTTTACATTTACATTTTTAAAACACATCTCTCTTATATACACACAAATTAGCATTTATAATATTAACATCTGGTGTTTACACAGTGTAGGCAATCTCCCACTTTGCGGTTGTCACCCTAAAGTTCCATTTGTGAGTTTATTATTTTCCCATAGAATTAATGTTGTCAGTGATACCCAGATTTTCATCCAGTTTGCAGAAATTATTTTATGCATCATATATCTGAAACTTTATGAAGAGAATAGTATTTCAACTCTATATCACTATAATTCATAGCTTTTGTGTGTCTGAAAAAAAAATATTGCAAAAACTCAAACTTATTTCTTTCTGTAAAGCAATAGAGAGATAAAAGTACTGGCCTGTGAACATGATCATGTTCTTAATCTTCTATCATCTTTACCTCTCTACTTGTGCACATTAAATATTAAATTATGTACATTATGCTCTAGGTGTCTACAGATATGTAAAAAAGAACAACTAACCATAGATTGGAAGCCAGAAAGTCTTGAATATGAATCCAGCCTATGCCACTCATTCTGATATGTTTTTGGTATCATGTGCTTCTTCTAAAATGGGAATAAGCTCCCTTCCTTTCTAGTCTTGGTGAGTAGTCAATACTATAAAGTCCACATAAATTAAGGGCAAAATAGATGTTGGTAATATGTAGGTGCCGGAGTCAGACTGCCTAGGTTGAAATGTTTGACATGGTGGAGCTTGGATTAGTAGTTTAGCCCATGGCTCATACATCATGCTGCATATTTGAATCACCTGGGAAGACTTCAAAAATTCCTAATGCACAGCCCCCAACTCATATCAATTAAGTATGTTTTTGCACAACCCTACCCTAGTGCTTCCGATGTGTAGCAAAATCTAGACTTCCGTTTGTTCATCACTTATAAAGTGGGTGAATTTACAATTAGAAAATTGAAGGAAGTAAGCAGGCAGGTGAAGTACAGCACTGAGCCTGCACACAGTAAGCACCTCATGAAGCTTTGCTCTTATTTTATAAAGTCACGGTTGTGATAAAATTGTGCAACGTATCTGTGCCTTTTAGAAAATTGAATGATTATCTACTGTTCCAGTTCTCTCCTCTACCTCATTTGTATTCTCTGTGTCCTGGATCATCTGTCATAGTTTTACTGTATAATAAAATTGCAGTATATGGGGAAAATATGGACACCTGGTACCCCAAATCAGATCTGCCCCACCTGACCTTTTGCTATTGGAAAAGAGTTTAAATTGATCTGTGCCAGTTTCCTTTCCACATTTTTCACAGAATCTAAGTCACTGATGCTTATATATTTGAAAGAAAAGAAAGGCATTTGCCAGGGTTAGGAAACCAGGACAAAATCTACCCAGGACCCTGGGTCCCTCCTGACCTTTGCTGGTAATAACTGCTGTTGCTCCCAGGATGGAGGAGGAGAAGACAGGAGAGGAAGGTTTATAGGTACCCGTGGTTTTTTTTATTTTCCAAGATTGAAGTTAAGTTTGTTCCTTATTTTTTTTCCTTAATTGTTTTTATCATCAAAAGTTGATTCACAATCAGCAGAGCTGGATGAGGTATTAGAAATTCTATAATTCTATGCCTTTGTTTTGCTGATAAGAGAAGAGACCTCAGGAGGTGATCTGAAATTAGGCAAGTACATAGTCAGGATGGGAAGTCAAGATTTATTATTCTCTTGGATAGGAATTAATTATTATTCTTTAAAATTTCTATTGTACAGCCATTATAGAAGCACATTTACACTTTACCCAAAAGAGAGAGATGTAAGCCAACATGTCCTCTGCAAAAAAACATTAATGTTCCCTGGAGAACATATATGTTCACTAAATACAGTATTTAGTAATAGCCAACAGTAGTTAACCCTAATGAAACTTTAGTTTATTACTTTTTGGGGGGATGTTACCAGGGATTGAACTCAGGGGCACTTGACCACTGAGCCACATTTCCAGCCTTATTTTATATTTTATTTAGAGACAGGGTCTCACTGAGTTGCTTAGTGCCTCGCTGTTACTGAGGCTGGCTTTGAACTTGTAATCCTCCTGGGGATTATAGGCATGTGCCACGCTCCTAGTGTGGTTTCTTACTTTTGATAAGAGAGTAACTCATTCCTAATGAGTAAGAGGTAATGAGGGTTGGGGTTACACATTTTCTTTCTTTCTTAAATTTGTATTTAACTACTTATTGGTAAGGTTAAAGATATCGTACATGTTTATTTGCTATTAATATTTCTTCTATGGATAATTTATTTATGTCTTCTGCTCATTTTCTCCAGTTATTTTTTAATTTTTTAAAAAAATTTGTTCTACTTAGTTACACATAACAGCAGAATGCATTTTAATTTATTTACACAAATAGAGCATAACATTTCAATTCTCTGGTTGTATACAATGCAAAGTTGCACTGTTTGTGCAATCATATACATACCTAGGGTAATGATGTCCATCTCATTCCACCATCTTTCCTGCCTCTGTTCTCCCCACCCTCCCTTTTGCCCAATCCAAAGTTCCTCCATTAAAGCCAGAAAGAACTCTCTATGACCAACTATATAGACAGAAAGATACACATATGTCAACATTCATGTTTACATATTTTTATTTATACTTACTTTTTATATAGGAGACCGCAGGGACAAAGTCTCTCTTTGTATGATATAATTTACAGGTTCTTAAAATAACTTTTTTATTATTCAAGTATTTACTTATTGGTACTCTGGGAATTGAAACCAGAGCCACTTTACCAGTAGCCACATCTCCAGACACACAGCTTCTTTCTTTCTTTCTTTCTTTCTTTCTTTCTTTCTTTCTTTCTTTCTTTCTTTCTTTCTTTCTTTCTTTCTTTCTTTCTTTCTTTCTTTCT